GTGGTTTGAGTGTTGGACTACGACTCTGGAGACCAGGGTTCAAATCCCGCCACGGCCATGTAAACCCATTGGGCGACCTTGGGCAGGTCACACCCTCTCAGCCTCAGAGGATGGCCATGGCAACCCCCCCCCCAATAAACTTGCCAAGAAAAACCCATGCTAGATTCGCCTTTAAGTCGGAAACGACTCGAAGGCACACAACCACAAACAACATCAAGTGTGCTTATAAATAAAATGTTATTATTATTATTATTATTAAAATGGATTACAGGCAGCTTTTATTATTCCTTGCAGGGCTGCCAACAACAGCAACCGCTTTCATATTTCTTAGTGATCCATCATTTGGGACACTTCCGACTGATTATTATTATTATTATTATTATTATTATTTGTATCCTCCCCAAAAAGGGCTCGAAGCGGCGTACAGTCTAAACAAGGCACAGAGCAATCAAAAACTTACAAAAGTGACCATTAAAATGGAATTAAGGGGGGTTGCAGACTGCCAGAAATAGTGCAAATTGAGTCCACTTTTAGGGTTAGGGTTAGTGCTAGGGAATCATGGGAATTGTTTTTTTCCTGAGACATTGAGCCTTCTCTGTCAGAGAGCTCTAGTGCCACAATAAAATACAGTTCCCATGACTTCCTAACCCTAACCCTCACCCTAAAAGTGGACTCAATTTGCACTATTTCTGGCAGTCTGCAACCCCCCTAAGCTATTAAAACAGATCATCCTTTAACTGCTATGGCACAGGAAGCCTGGGGTTTGTAGTTTGGTGAGGAGGCACTAGACCTCCCTGGCTGAGAATGCTTAAATGCCCCTCACCTGGGAACTGCAGATCCCAGACTCCATAGGACGGGAGCTATGGCAGTTAACGAAGAATCGTAGCGCTATGATTGCGCAGTATGGATGGGCCCCAGTTATAAGGGATTTAAGGAGGGAAGCCAGATTACCGGCTCTGGAAAGATGGAAGTCAACCGAAGCCCGATCGGGAGCCAGAAATCTTGTCTTTCGTTTCTTCCGCCGAACTAAAACTCCCAAGAATCCAGGGTCCCGTCTCCACCAAGCAGTTACAGCGCTATGATTCCGGTAACTGCCATGGTGACGTCCTATAGGCTCCTGGGAATTGCAGTTTGGTGAGGCACTAGAGCTCCCCGGCTGAGAATTCTAAATGTCCTTCCCTAAACTGCAAATCCCAAGAATCCCTTGGCATTTGAAGTGGAACCATAATGCTGTCATTGTGCCGAACGAACCAGCCTCCGGTAGCTTCTCCCCCATGAAATTCAAAGCCCAAAAGTTGAGAAAGTGGCCTTCGGGGACTACAACTCCCAGAATCCCCCACCCAAGCAAAATTAAACTGGGCTTGATTTCAGCGTGACATAGTGGTTTGGGCATTAGACTGTGACTCTGGAGACCGGGTTCGATTCCCCGCTCGGCCATGGAAACCCACTCACTGGGTGACCTTGGGCAAGTCACACTCTCTCAGCCTCAGAACAAGGCAAGGGCAGACCCTCTTTGAGCAAATTCTTCCGTTATAGGGTCGCTTTAGGGTCGCCACAAGTCGGAAACGACTTGAAGGCACACAAACAACCGTCCTATTTCCAAACTTAGCCTAAAGTTTCCCCCTCCCAAGGGGTTTTCAGACGTCAGGATTCCTTGAGAGTCTTCCGTGTTATTTGTAGTGCGTTTAATGCAGAGGACACCCAATGGAAGGGTTTCCACTTTTTACGCGGTTTTAAAACGCGCCTTTAAATCTCTCTGGAGAAAGAAATAGTGCAAATTGAGTCCACTTTTAGGGTTAGGGTTAGTG